ATTACTTTAATAAGGTCGATTTAAGTAAAGGTTACTGGCAGATTCCTATGTCTGAGGAATCAAAACCCCTTACCGCAATTATTACACATAATGGTTTATATCATTTTGATATGATGCCATTTGGGCTTGTAAATGCGGGGGCAACGTTCAGTCATATAATGAGACGGCTCCTTAAAGGTATTAGTAATGTACATATTTATATTGATAATAATATCTTATCCATACAAGGACTTGCAGTGAGCATGTCCAGGCAACTGAGAAAGTGTTCAAGCGTCTTCGCAGTGCTAATTTGAAGTGTTTCTTAGGATATGATGAAGTCGAATTTTTGGGTCACATAGTAGGTCATGGCATTGTTAAGCCCAAGCCGGATAAAATTCAAGCTGTATTAGAGGCTCAGAGACCTTCAACAAAGACTCAGGTAAGATCATTCACTAGTTGGATTTTATAGGAAATTCATTCCAGACTTTGCGGCAGTGGCTACCCCTCTAACTGACTGTACTAGAAAGGGGAAGCCTAACGTAATTCAGTGGGGGTGATGCTCAGGAACATGCTTTTTCCACACTCAAAGGTAAGTTGGTTAACTTCCCCATACTTCAGCTGCCTGATCTAAACAAGGAATTTACATTGCGCACAGACGCATCAGATACAGGTGTCGGAGCAGTTTTGTTACAAAAAATCGGTGGAGAAATGTTTCCCATAGCTTATGCAAGGAAGAAATTGAATGGATGTCAAACGAGGTATTCGGTGATGGAACGGGAATGTTTGGCGATGGTCTGGGCAGTGCAAAAGTTCCAGTCGTATTTATATGGTAAAGAATTTGTGGTACAGACAGATCACCAGCCATTAACATGTCTTCGTAAATCTAAGGTGGCAAATGGGAGGATAATGAGATGGGCGCTGGCATTGCAGCCCTTTCGAATGTTGGGGCCGATTACTTATGCAGAAGCATATCAGCCACAAAATCTTGTCTATTAATATTCCATTAAGGCAAGGTATAAGATGGAGGTATATTATAATGTGTAAATATCTTTGAATGCGTAAACACATTCACAAAAACGGGGGGCTTAATTGTCACATTATAATCTAGTATCGATAATTAGTTACCTGCAGTGTATACCACTTCAGATGCTATTGTTTTAAACAAAGAATTAGTTAGGGCTTGGGTTGAGGACAGGTCGCCCAGCTGTACTGTTATTATGCAAATTTCTTTGTTTCTGTTTCCTCGTGGTGTGCACTGAAAGCAAATTCAAGTTAGTCTCACTCAGAACACAGTCCTGGAAGGTTGTTCTTAGACAACCACTTGCTGGGGTCTTGTGAAGAGCCAAGTTTTGCTTTTTGTATGGGGCGCTAGGGAAATGGCTATATCCCTAGTATAAGCCTGGGCCAGCTTTGGAGCCTATGTGTTTCAGATGCAAACTCATTGTAAGTAGAATTTCCAGTAATTGTCTATTCAAAGGCTAAGTAAAATCTGAAATCATTCTTTCTGTAATTTTCTCATACATTTTGCGCTAGCAGTTTAATGTTTCATTAATGGGCAGAAAATTCTAGATTTGTAAACAGATTGTATTTAATCCCTTCTCCTTCTTGATCAATTAAAGTTATTCGTTCAATGTTATCTAACTCGTACGTGGTCTTGCGGTTTGATGGATGGATCGATCGAGCACTCGGCAACATAGTCAATAGTCATGTTGGCATCTCGTATGCATGACAGTAACACTATCTAAACTTACTTCCGTACTGCTTTCAAAGAACGCCCTTGGGTATTCATCAAATACCTTTTATGCAGGACGCAATGTTACTATGGAAAATTGGCGGCTATTTTGGTAGACAAACATTCCTTGCGTGCACCTCATAGAAAACACACCGACTGCACTAGCTCATTCAGAATAAAAAAAGTTGGAATTGTACCAGCAGAAGATGAATACATTGTGGGTATAAGCAATGAATGACCATCGTCAGAATATTGAGCCTCATATTAACTGATTCCACTGGAATGGACAACCTAAAATAGCAATATCGATAAATTAAAGCGATTTGAGTAAAAATAATAATGTTACAATCAATTTAATCTGTAAATATTATTACAATTCAAAGTCAGTCTGCAGTTTGTAACAAGTACATATTATGAGCATACATTGGCACCTTGTTTTAGAAACATGGTTACGTATATTATTTAAGCATTATGTGAATATTTGTATTGCTTCTCCCATATCTCTAATTCAAGAGATGTGCGGCTAGTAATGAGAATGCAGTTGAAATTATCATGGTGATCGTGGTAATCATTCAATCAATGGTAGGGCTGGGGAAGATCACAAACTTTCATTCAAGATCACCAAATTTCTTGCAAATATCTATTGAAGATCACATGCTTATATATACTTTAGAAAACATCTGCCGTAAAAGGAAATACAAGTAGTAAATAAATAAAATGCTGTTTGAACCGATGAATATGATAAATATAAATAAAATATAAATATAGAAATGTCTAGTTATTTTGAATAGTTATTTATCACAACAATTACAAAATATTAAATTCTTCACATTTCAATCAGCTTACTATTTAATACATCTTGTGTATCGTGAGTTATCATGACGTCACCTCTGTGTTCATTATAAATAAAATACACAACCGTAACTTAATTTGAATACATAATTAATATTATTAAATAAATTTTAACATTACGTTTTTTGTTATTATTTTAATCATTTTTACCCAAATGACAATAATCCTATATTTTGAGTAAATATAATGCCTGTATGACCCTTTCTACTCATAGCTCAACACATATTTTCATTGTACTTAATGAGCTTTCAAATACATGCTGGGAATATTCTTGGTTGCGATTAAAATAATGTTATCTGTTCATTTCATGTAAACATTTTTACATGCAGTTATACGTCGCATGTGGAGCCTATATCGAATATGACTCAGTGCTTTAAGCCAGACAATGAGCATCTGCTTTTTGATGTTTTCGTTATACCATGAAGGACACTATTGTGAAATATTTAGTCATTGTAATACAACGCAATCAACATTGAATGTACTTCTTTGTAAAGCAAGGAATTTTTAGAATTACAGAAAAGTCGCCTATAAAATTTTAGAATCTTTAGAGACTGTCAGTCGATGTCAATTTCAGATTGTATGTACGGATCAACATAAGCTAATGAATAGGTTATCAGCATGCAAAATAAATGACACACTCAGTAATTGACTACATCTATATTGGAAATATCTTATTTGATATATGCCTATATCTCTATTGGAATTACCTTATTTGATATGTGCCTATATGTCAATTGGAATTACCTTATTCGATATATGCCTATATCTCAATCGGAATTACCTTATTCGATATATGCCTATATCTCAATTGGAATTACCTTATTCGATATATGCCTATATCTCAATTGGAATTACCTTATTCGATATATGCCTATATCTCAATTGGAATTACCTTATTCAATATATGCCTATACATAATTTAACACAACTCATTAGTATATGTTATGCTCATTCCCTGTTTAGCAGTTATCAATTGTTATTCATCATAAGTATCTATTATACAATACATTAAAAATACATTGTCACCGGGGTTTGCGGTCCAGATACAATTATTTCAGAAATAATTGAAATTAAATTAGGCATCCCTGTATATTAACAGGGGAACTCAAATGGATTATTTTGGTTTCAGTAGACTTTAAATTGAGAATACATTGACTCATGTTATCTATACAAAAATAAGATAATTCCAAGTCTTACTCAATTACTCATTAATCGACATATAAGATGTGTTTAATGTATTATTCACAATGTTTAATTTCCCACATGTTATTCGGGGGAATATGATAAATACAGATTTGATTTCAACATTCAGCGGATGAGTGCACCGAGAATTCATCTTTGAATTGTTAAAAAATAATATAAGAATCCTCACCATAAATTACCATTTAAATACGTATGGAACATGAATAATAGCAAACGTATGCTAGATATGTTATTATGATAAAGAGTACAATGTCTCTATTTTACATTACGTAATCTATCATTATTCATGGGTGAATATTTAATAATTCAATGTTTTAGTTCATCTGATGCAGTAGTTTTGCAGTAAATCTATGCTCTGAAATTTAGAATTGTTTTATTACACGATGGCGATAGAGAATAATGAAATATAATTCAAACACTGAATTATAAATTATATCCAGCTAAATACTATATATATATATATAAATATATATAAATATATATTTATTTATTAGTTACGCACTGATTGATGACTGAGTTTGAGTGAGGGATACTACGTGTGCAGTAGGATGTATTCACACATGGTACCAATTCTCTAGATACGTTCTGCATTCGCCATGTAATGTATTTTCTATCGGTTATCTATTTCGTACTAGAAATTTACTTTAATTTAAATTGAAAGAGAATGAACACGTGGAAGACTAGGCAGTAAAATTACAATGTGGGTATATGAATAGTAAATTATTTGAAGACAGTGAGTAAACTAACACACATTACGGTTGATAAGGTAACAGAGTGTGAACACTACTTGCGGTATGGAAATGTTTGAACACTAACAGGTATGTGCGAATACATCATTCAGTTAAGTTTAAATTGAAATACAATCACAAATCGTTATCATAAACGATAAATGACATTAAACAGACATTTCTGTATACAGATCATGTGCTGATAACGGATATGTGAGAAAAGATTTTTTTGAGTGATTAGTAACTGACAGTGAACATTTGTCATTAGGTGAGATTCACAAGATGCAGGAAACTAGATATATGTTGAGGTGTGAAATATTTTGCGTGTTAGCATATCAATAACAAATTGTTTAAAATAAATTGATTTAGGTGCTGCGTTGATTCTTGCTCAAATTCCCGTTTGAGATTGACGCAGAGTTAGTTTCATCAGCACGGATGGTACCTCTTCTCCTGCTACAAAATAAAATGGTCAATTCTTTCTGAAATTCCTCGTACTTTGCGGCGTAAACAAAAGGATTAATACACATATTACAGAATGTTAATACTGCTGTGAATTTATAAAGATATCCATTAAAGTTGGCATCGTAACCGAAGATGAGATGAAACACGCTCATGTACAAGGTATTGGGAGTCCAACAAATGATGAACGTGATAACTACAATCAGCAGAGTTTTGATTATATTTTTTCGAATTCTCGCCACTCTGTTGAACTTCTCGCTTTTGTTGTCGTCCGTTGTACCAGGCTGAATTTGCATCCGAAAAACCGACCATATTTTAATGTAACACGTGGTCATGACGGCAATCGGTAGGGCGTACAACAAGGTGAAGAATTCAATTCCGATAAATATTCGATACGCGGTGCTCGGAAATAGGGAGACGCACTGTCCTTCGCAACTGCTGTATGCTCCGATCCCGTACGTCAGCTGTACCACAGCCCCATACACCCAGGTTAAAATCATAACCACAACAGCTTTGATAAACGTGAATTTATTGCGATGCCATATGGGGTAAGCGACGCCCAACCATCGCTCAATCGTCAAGGCAACCAAGTTGGCAGTGGATGAAGACATGAAACACCATAACAACGTGCGCGAGTACCACAGCATACAATAGAGTTCTCCTGTAATCCCACTCGGTGAGCTCGGCGTGTTCAAGCTTGGAATTTGGACTAACAGGAAAGTGGATGAACTGATAAGATCGATAGTAGATTGGTGTAGTATGAACAGGTGAGTCAGAGAGTGGAATTTCTTCCGTTTTCGACTGAATATCAAACAGACCATACCGTTACCTAGAATGCCAATGATTGCAATACTGCAATAAACGCCGACCAGCACGTTGTCTTGTGTTACAGTAGCAGCAGTATTCTTAAAATATGTGTAGTTAACAGTGTACGCCTCAGCCGTGGTGGTGCTCCTGTTGATGGTTGCCATGTTTAAGAATTCAGTAAAGCGAAGTTATTAGTTAGCAGTGATGTTACGGTCGCAATGCACATATACTGATCCCATAAGGTTTAGAAAAAACAAATATGCAACATGTGTTCATATCATAAAAAAACATATATATTTTTTTTCAATTGTACGATTGGCTGGTTTTGGTCACATGATCGTGGTCTACATGCTAAATGCACAGGTCCGTGAATATCCCGGGCTGATAAGTATTGAAAGATGTCACGTGACATGAAATTTGGCCAGCAAATAGTAGTTACGGTGGAAAACACCAAGATTTTATTATTTCGATTGCTTTCGAAGTTGTACGATCAGAACAACTGATTACTAACTTTGTTTCAAAATAATGTTGATTATCTGCAGACTTTTGTCTCCAGACGTATTTGCATTATTTATATGTGTACATATATCGGTGCATAATTTTGAAACAAAGTAGGTAATCAGTTGTTTTCAATATTACAACATCAATCGTGATGACAAAATCTCGGTGGCTTTCACTGTAACATATTTTTTTCTGATTTGGTTTTGTGCTAGAATTTATGCAACTGCATCTCCTTCGTGGGCAGTCCACTGAGTGCACATTGGAAAATTGGTAAAAGCTTAGTTAAATCTCAATCTCTTTCAAAAACCCATGTTTTAAAAAGTAATTCAAAACAAAGGAAGTGCTTTATCCGGTGCGACACGTAAATGTTTCATCGCGCAAATAAACGAGATAAGCGATGTCTTCACTACATTTACCGACTTTTAACCAACATTTTCTCGAAAAACACTTTCCTGGTGAAGCCAATTTCGTTCACGCTAATATTAGATTTTTTTTGAGCAGGCTTCTAGCGTAATGTAATTACTGCACTTGTACATATGTATTCCGATGATTACTTTCGAGAGAGAGAAGATAATATTGCGATAAATCCGTGGCGTGTTTCGGCCAACCAAATAATCAATAGAAAATAAGAATATATACAATTAACGTAAGGGAATTAACGTATATTGCACTTGATTTTTCACTATTATACGTATTCATCTTCATACTTCATATTTTTATTGAAAAAAAACACGGATCAAAATAATATGTTGTTATAAGAGCACAACAGAATATCCATAAATGATAAGGGTGTAATTATTACAATATTGTATTAAAATTTGTATATAATCGAATATCGAATGATATGTCTTTAAATGTCCAGGGGCGGATCTAGGATTCTGGAATAGGGGGGCCGATAAGTTGGCCGATGGCCAAGTTCGCGAGCGCCGATGGCTCGAAGCCCTGTTCTTGATTGTTAAAAATAGGGGGGCCGCGGTCCCCTCGCCACCCTCTAAATCCGCCCATGATGTCGTACCTCTTATCATATGTACGGTACCAGTACTGAACGTTACGCTACCTAGTCAACAAATACACGTATTAGTCTACGTTTATATCTATGTATTACGAATGCAAAATATATTCGAACCGGAAATAATGTTAGAACTTGGAGAGACTAATCCTGAATCCATAAAACAAATGAAGCAGTATTCTGTCGCAAAATGGTAAAAAACGATCGATGCTTAATTACCTATATTCTAATTATATTTCAGTGATATATGCAAATCAAATTTAGATTACAGTGCGAATTCGGTATATTAAATTTAATATCTAAACAAGTTTACTTTAAATATTAATATGATTAACATTACAAAAAAAAAATGATTCAATATTGCAAATTTTTTTCTTGCCATTACAGTAATATTGTTATCCAACGTATGGGTATGTCACACGCAACGTAATATTACCGTAATTGGTATAGTACAGGTGTGATGGTACAAATACCAAAATGGCAACAGTGACATAAAGACTTCCCTGGCGGCGATGATAACATACGAACACGGAGTCAAAAGATGAGGTTTCGACTGGTACTGGTATTATTATACTCTGCAAACATCAAGTACAATAACTCGGTAAAACTCCAAAACTCCAATAACTAAATACTTAAACTCCAACACAATTCAACGAGATCTCCGATCTGAACTCAGTGCTGAACAACTCCCCTATATATACCCACACTGTCTATAAATAGACCATTACATCAGCATACATAATGAGTCTGGAACTTACTACAAATTTCTAGAATGTTCCATTACCTATTCAACCAGTTTCTAAAAATTCCACCCAGACACAGTACGGTTCTAGAACATTCTCAGTCACACGGAAGTGGTAAACAAGTCGTATGCGACAGGGTATTACATTACTTATTCGCATAATGTAATATATGAACTAATGTAGTTTAGTATGCCGAATTTGAAATCAAGGAAGAACAACTTGTACTTTTAAACAATTTAATTGCAGATATGAGCGAGCTTATGGATAAAAACTAGGATATCAGAAAACAACGATGTCATTTGTGTGATCGAGACCATCAAATTCAAAATGAGACTGTTGGATGATGAGCTCATTCTCGTTTTGAGAAACACCTAATATCACGTATGTACTATGTTGTATCATAGACCTTAGAAAGAGAAAAATACAGCGATCTAAAAACAATCTGGACGAGTCCTGTCTGTCCAGACGGCCTTTCAGACAGTTCGAAAATTTCAGAATTACGATTTTAAAATATAGACTAGCAAAACTAAAATACGCGAGTATCATTGAAAATAGTATGATTTAAGTGAAAATACGATAATGCAAACAACAAGTGTTTTTATTTTCCCGAAAACGGGCGAAAATGTGCCAGTCGCAGGATAAGTATTATTCAACCATTTGTCAAAAAAACGAATTGTAACTCTACATATATTAAGTGTCACCTAATAACCAGTACAAAAAATGGATCTTGTATTGAAATTAAAAATTCAATGTAATGAGCACAAACACTGAAAGACGTGTTGCAAACTGCGCGGCCGATTGATTGTGAGTGACGACATACGGCTTCCTTAGCTTGGTCATTTGTTTATAACTGTAGTAACCCACGTTGCACGCCGGATGTCGTGAAATCCTTTGTTTTATAATCCAGTTGCCTGTCCCTCTCTTTCTAAGGTCTATGGTTGTATGCATTGATATCCAGGTTTATAAATGTCGCTATTTTAACCATGTAGTATATCATATGTTTGATTTCAAGTTATTGAACTGTTCCATTGTAAACTGATGATAAATAAATATAACAATGAATTACAGTTATATATATATATTCAGAGGCGTGCTCACATTGGTGAAGTGTAATTACTATACGTGTGAATAGCGTCATCTGTGGCAGCCTTCAGAGGGAATTGTACTGTACATCTAATACTAATTCACAAATATATTTAAAAAAACAGCGTCATTATAACTTGTAAGCCTTCAAGGCTTTCGTTGTCGTGTATAGACTGCAATAATTCAATTAAAATTTGCTGAGCACAGCTATGTCGCATGTCTATTAGTTTTTATTAGGAGATGTGAACGCATAATGTGGATGTTATTAATTCGCCATTCAAACAACATTCGAAAATTAATATATTATTTCCATCTGATTAAAATTAGGAAATTGATTTGGGCTTTTAATACTACCAATTTATTATTCATTCATTTCTCAATAAGCAATCAAGGATATGAAGACCAGACTATAAGTATCAGTTTGATCATTCATGCATAGACAACTTAAAATAAACATAGCTGTGCATATTTGCATTGAAAAATATTGATGAAATTGTGTGTATTAATCCGACCCATAAAACAGATAAAAATATCTCGATGTGTGCACGGCAAAGAGAGAAAAAAACACATCTTTGTTTCTTTTCCTACTAACAATGTACCGCATGAGGATGTCCATGCGAGTGTATTTAAAAGTGATTCGTTATCACTTGACATGGTCTGAGTAGCTTGTAAGAGGTACTATACAAACATCCCCAATGAAAATGTTAAAATATGGTGTTCGTCGGGGTTAGGTGCTTTTGTTTAGCATGTATACTTTCCCACTTTGTAGTATTATAGAACATCATGGACTATCAATCACCTCCATGCTAATGATACCCAGTTATACATTTCAACCAAACTCAGTATATGATCGTGACTTAGCTCTAACTAATCTTAAGATTATGTCAGTTAATTGAAAGATTGAATGTTTTGCAATAAACTAAAACTTGAGTAAACAGATATTTTAGTATTTGTCATGCCACAGAAAATTAAGAAATTAAAGTTGATTTTCCTGAAATGGAAGTGGTATTTGATAAACATTTGAATATGGCAAGCCATATTATTCAGGTAACAATATCGTAATTTTATCATCTGCAACAAAAACTACCGAGAGTATTGTTCATACTCTTGTGGGATCGAGGCTGGATTACTGTAATACTTTATTGTATCATGGTACACCGAATGTCTAATTATCTAAATTGCAGAGGGAACAGAATGCAGCAACTAAAAAATGTTTTGAAGAAAAGAAAATATGACCATATTGCACTTTCTTCTCTAACTCTCTTCCAGCAAAGGATCGGTTTGTATATACATTATTGTTTTTAGTTTACAAGGTCATTTTTGTACAAAATCTTTAAACCTACTTGCAGTTCCAATGTCACGTCTAGAAGCATGCGGTGATAGGGCATTTGCTGTATGCGGACCATATTTACGGAATGCCCTACCAAAACATGTAAAGAAATTGAACAATAGTAATGATTATATTATTCTTTCTATGTTACAGTTGTAGTTTTTATGTCATGCGCTATGGATCGGTTAGTAAATAAGTAAATTATTATTATTATTATTATTATTATTATTATTATTATATTAATGTGTGTAATAGTGAATGTATCGTAATTTATGGGTTCGGCACAATTTTTAGATTTCTTATAGTATAGTTTGACAGTACACATAACAAAATTTCTAAAAATTATTTGTGTGATTACCAATATAATGGTGTGCTATTGGGTTCAATTTAAAATATTTATTTTGTGTATATGTGTTTTGGGCTTAACAGTATACTGCTATATTGAGCGTGTTTCTATACTTGCCGTATACTAGGTACACCATAAAATGCTGCCATCTATAACGACGTATGTCATCTGAAATACTGCATTGCATGCTACTACGTTGTCATTACCATAATTTATATCGGTATTCTACAGTGATCTCAATTATCATTATATTTATATTATATTTGAGATCACGAATCGCAATATAATTAACTGTGGATCTACAAGCATACCCACGCGTCTTCATTTGTAACGAAATAGTCCCGTGAGGGTATGCAAAGTCTCAGTTAGATTACCTTTGCTATATTTAAACTACTAATGATCTGAATGATGGAGTGAACAATACATGACCCGACACCACACGCACTGGAGAAAAAAAATACAATGATTTATAACTCAATCAATTTAAATGATTAGTTGAATGAATAAAATACAATTTAATACACTAATTACATTATATATGTATAATTGATTGTATAATTAAAATGCGGAGGCGGGAGTATGTGTTGCCATATACAGTTTATATCCACGTCGTTAAAACACATAATTATATTAGCATGTATGCAAATTAAATATATGTAAATGAATATGTAAATTTGTGTTACATGCTCACGCTATTGGTCAGGATGTTATGATTTCTACAACAAAATTTCAACTCTTTTTGGAACTCCTCGTACTTCGCGGCATAAATAAAAGGATTAATACACATGTTACAAAAAGTAATCATAGCGGTGAATTTGTAGAATTCGCTCTCAAAGTCCACGTAGTTGTCCAAAATAAGATGGAACACACTAACATAGAATATATTCGGCGACCAACATATCACAAACGAGATGACAACAATCAGTAACATTTTGATAACATTTCTTCGAATTCTTTCCATCTTTTTCGTCCTGTTGTCGACATGTTCGTCACTAGGATTGGTTTTCACTCGCAATACCATCCATATTTTGATGTAGCATATAGTCATGGTGACGATTGGCAGCAGATACAGACAGACGAAGAACGTGATGCCGGTGTAGACTCGGAAGGCACGGGTTGTTTTCATAGCAACGCATTCACCGTCGCTGCTGTTAAAAGACCATGTTCCGTAAACTACATGGGGGAAGTGACCGTACACCCAAGCTAGCACCATTACAAGAATTGCCTTATTGACAGTGAATTTGTTGCGATGAAAAACTGGATGGGCTACGCTGATGTACCTCTCGATCGTCAAGACAACTAAATTGGCACTAGATGTCGTCATAAACCCCCATAGCAGAGCCCGCGAATACCACATTTTGCAGTACAGTACACCGACCACCCCGCCAAGTACGCCTGGGTTATGTACATATACAATTTGCGTCACAAGAAACACACACGAGCTGATGAGATCAATGAAAGATTGGTGACGAATAAAATAATGAGTCAATGAGTGGAATTTCTTGCGATTTCGTCCAAATATGACACAGACTAGAGAGTTACCAATGATACCGAGCACTGCAATGATACAATAAATAACGCCGATGAAGTCGACGCGACCTGTTTCAGTGGCGGCATCAATAGTGGTATTGTTCATGGTGGTTGCGCTAACTTATTGACAGGTATAGTAAGTCCGACCATAAATGGCGGTGCTGATGGTGACGATACTTGCAATGCACAATAAGAGTCATTCACGTGAAAATGCACATCTACTGCAGCCACGTCTGCCAGTTCGGGTCGTACGCAATACATATATCCCAGGGGACCATATGAATATTCATGAAACGGTGGTGCGCACTAACTCTTGCCGCTGTTTCACGAAAGTTGAGGTGAACGTTGTTTAAAAACAAAATACATTGAAAATATATAAGATAATATCAGATGTTAGCCTACCATTCGCATATATATGTTTCAACTCGTTAAGTCACACGTGTTTATTCAAATGTAACAATTTGCATACGCATGACCAGGCAAAAAGATCAAGCGGAAATGTTGAGTTTTGTCAACATTCATGGCTGTCAAATCATGATTGAGACTAATTTTTCCAATTTTGAATCAGTGAGGCATATAAGAAAAACATGGCACGACAAAAATAGTGCAAGATATGAGCGGAAACGACAAACTCATTACAAGGCTGTATTTGGACCTCGTGCTAGATCGAATATATATAACTGGTTCACCACGTTGTAGAAATGTATTTCGAAATTACGTCTTGACTTTACATTGTATCCCGGTGGTTGACAGACTACCCTGACCCCCGCGTGCACCAGCCTTGCTGCGATGTAAAGACTGGCTATATAGACCACGAACAAGATAAATATTTAGAAAATTGACGCCACGGAAACAATTCATGTAAATGTGAAATAGCAATGAAACAATCCACCAATAGGGCAATGCTGTATCGGGTATTTTACCTCATTCTGAAATATTTGATTTTATATGTGTGCAGTAATAATTTCTGGATGTTGTTAGTGACGTCATTAATTCGACTTGCGCATATCCATCTAGTCCCTTATAAGGTCATTGTTTCCTTACGCGCTATTTTGTGCTGTTTTAAGGCGGTTATTTGCGGCGTAGGGTAGGCGTGGTGAGGCGCGCGTCAGCTTACAGTAATTTCACCAATATTGCAATCACCGTTGCTTACATGCTACGTAACTTTACTAGCTTTGACTTCCACTTTAAGTCTTCCCAGGTAATATTACCAACTTCGCTATCTTTGCAACTTTGTATTTTGTGTACCACTATTGACATTTGACCGATAGCTTTGGTCACGCAAGTGTTTCCTGTAGCTTCACACTTGGTCTTTTGTTTTTATGTAGATTAGTAATCGCCACAGTTATTTTCACATTCAGATTATTAATCCTATGCACATTAGTAATAACAGTTTTGCACACGCAATTCCCACACTTGTTAGTGTCAGGCATGTCATAACGTTTACAATATGCTGAACATAAGTGTGGCTGTTACACATAAAACAGCACGGCTATTCGTGCGATTAACTCTACGTAATGCGCATGTGCACATGTATTCAAAATTTATTACATTAGAGTAATTATATAAACGTGGTAATCCGACCAAGTTTTGATTTAAATACGAGATTTTGACGTAACCTGGGCAATTGGTAAATGAATGAGTCATTCTTTTCTATAAACAAATGAAATGTGATAATTATTCAATTTGTTTATGTACACGCATTTCTACAATAAACAAATAACGATTTTAAAGTTCTTTTGAATACGAAATGAGTCATACGATATTTGTGAATTTATCTGATTGGTTGGATATATACAGTTCAAGATAATCTGAAATGAATTGATCAAGTTATTGTAAGCACAGTATGTTTAGTATGACGGAGACAACATCAGTTTTTTTATGACACGGGCATGATAAAATGGCTGATATCCGAGTGCTATATATATATACTAGTATATAAAATACCACATTTAGAAAAGTACCAGTAGAATCAATAAACATTTTGCGATCCGCCAAAAGAGTGCTTGTCATTTAAGTGCCGATCGCGCGTTGGTAGATTTGCCGGTTGGTTGGGTTAATTATATGTTGTTAGTCGCATAATAAACTCTACACGTACAATGATAACAAATGCTTTAATAAAAAAACACTCTATATATGTATATAATAAACTATTCTACTATATGAAAATTAAAAATGCAATACAATAATTCAATGCAAATAAATGTGTCTTGCACGTCATTGTATACATCGCATAGGACCCATATTGACGTTATACGGCGACAGTGGCGTTTTAATTAAAGGGCGGTGGTCGTCGTGTCACGTCTATTCGATATGGGACTCATAACGACGTATACAACGCGTGTTAAATACATTGTTTATTTACATGGAATTCAAACACGCGCTGCGCGACGACCACCGCGCCTTAAACTCGTATTAGTTATCGCGGTGACTGATGAATGACACGTGGTAATTACCTTGAATGTACTTGTTTTCAGAGCATATGCCTAATGTTTAATTATCCTCGTGAAAAACTGAGTCTTGTTATATGGACTATGTCAAGAACGTGACTATGTGTTTTCAAGTTCTGTGTATAATATATAAAATGGAACATTTTTAGTTGTAGATGTTTACGATATTACGCGGTTCAAAAGAAACACTATCGTCAGAGTTACGTATAATCTGAGTAATTGTGACGAACGTTAATGGCACAGCGGAGAAAAACGGATCCTGAAATTAGTGTAATTTAGAACTGTTCATTCATGACAGGGTTTCTTCGAAAACAAAAACAAAAACTATTTCTATTCTGAAATAGACCGATTTACATTATAATTTCGATCATGTTTTAAATGTACATCTTAATTTTTCGAGACATTTACATAAACCTTTATTGGTAGTTTATCATTTGTGTTGAGATTCGGTCGAATTGAACGATTTGATGAGAGACTAGTCTGATTTTTTTGTAATTACTAATTCGCTGCGTGTTGCATCATTTTGTTTTTGAGGATCATTTTCTTCCAGAAGATGAGGATCATTGTATTTAATTTGAGATGTAGAGTGATCCTTTTGCATTACTAACTGTGTTCTACTTTAATCGTTCACTATTCGTTTTTATACCGTTTCATGTTCTTGGTTGGCTTAAATTTTGGTATTCATAGTATACAATTTTGGTATCAAATGAGTTAAACAAAAGATCTAATAATTAACTATCCCTTGTATACGGGTTTCTGCTAAGTTGAAATATGGCGTAGTATATGTATATAATTGTTTGTTTTTCGATTAACGCATATTGGCAACCGGATTACGACATCTAGTTTTGGGTATTCTATTTGTACAGTTTGGTTGTAAACACATCCTGGATGGGACTAGTATAAATCTTCCAAAGCTGTATTCGACGACATACCGGTGAAAGTAAATATACGGCGTGAATGTTAGATGAAAATAATGTTATCTATTCAGCGCACGATATCAAGGAAGCAAGCACTCAGCTTGTCATGGTGTACTTCGTTGTTGAAACATTTAATCTACAGACACAAAACAATTAAATTGACATTCTTACTTAGCGAGAGACTGAATGTCTCGAGCAGTAAATTACAGGTACTGTGATATATACATAATATGCACGTGCATTACAACAAACGAATGAATTGCCCAATCAGATAATAATTGTGATTGGCTATTGAAGTACGTCTCAGTTGGATCTCATCTTTCCGTTTTTTTCCGCTTTTGGTTACAATCTTCTTAACTAATCTATGCTATGTATAGTAGGAAATGTAGGGCATTTTATAAGGTCTAACATTCAGTCAATCACAGGACATTTCGGGACAAACGTACATTGCTAGAATACAGATGCAAGTGGGAGACTTTGTGAAAGTAATGTTGAGGCCTCGTCTCAAATCATATTGTATATGATTTTTTTGTAGTGTGTGCTGTATACAATATCGTCACAAAGTATCATAATTCGTCTCGCGTGATTTCAATGGAATCTCGTTCGCAAATACCCATACACAGTTATGACAGTTATGTTTTTGACGTGTTTACTAACTGAATGGTGTTGGTCTACCTGTGTGAGCGAAGCACACATCCACAATTTAATTTAAATTTAAATGTTAGCTCAAAATTGACGGAAATAATATGCCTTACTCATTATGAAATATATTTGCATATTATGTGAATATCATTTGAAGAGAAGTTTCCATGTCATTGTATTGGACGAACTGATATATTGTATTTGGAAGTGGAAACTGGTATCGGGTTAATTAATTCAGACGATTGAAGAATATCGTCCTTTCGTGGTGATTACCCGACAAGCATCACTTGTAATGTCATCAATAGGTCATGAAATTTGCATGTTGCGTTTGTAGTGTAGTAGTCTGACAGACAAGGTGACCAACCTGGATTTTGAGTCTATACAAAACGTTTTGGGTGAAATTTGGTCCCTGGCACCACTTTCTTGAGAATGATATATATATATATTGTATTGTATATTACAATAGGATACTTGCTAAATACATAATGCTTTGTCATTATGGTGTGGAACATGATAAATAGCTCAAAAAGAGCTAATGAAACATCATGTTCCTACCCTAATTATAAACTAGTCAAATTATCAGAAATATTCTTACAAATATTCAAAGGTTATGTATAAGAATACTTAAAACTGATCAAAAATATGTCATAAAAGTCATGAGAGTGACAGTTGTTATAGAAGTCAATACTGGGTTATTTATTACAGAGATACTTTTTAAGACCTTGTTTGAATTTGTATCGAGAGGTAATATTTTTAATGACACTGGCAATGAGTTCCAGAATAAGGTACTACTAATGAATTACACTGTGTTGACTTTGAGTTAAACGTTTCCTTTCCAAAAAAAAGTTTGCGTTTTCTACAGATCTTGTACTGTGCGAGTGCTGAATTGGGTCAAAATAATCTAGCACACATCTCGCATGATTATTATTTTTCAGATCAAAAAATAAAATTCCTGTTTGTAACTTACAAAGATATTTAATATACCTATATTTTTACAGAGTGGTTTGGAATGATCATAAAAGTTTGACCAATTAATTAGCCTCACAACTCGTTTTTTGTAGAATAAATAGTGGCTTAAGGGTTGTTTCATAAGTATGGTCCCAAACTTCTGTGCAATATGACAAATTTGGTAAAATAAGTGAGTTATAAATCATTACTAAGATTGATTGATTTAGGAACACAAGATCAAGAAGAACGCCCAAATAACTAAAAAAACTCGACCTGACTCAAAGAAATAGTATTAATTTTTAAACTGTTTGTGATTTTTACTTCTCTTCTATTTGTTTTGAAAATGGAGAAAATAGTTTTATCTGCATTAATGGTAAGTTTGTTTGACTTACACCATAATATAACTTTATTAAATTCACCTTGAATGTCAGACAAATTAATTTGACGAGAATTAAAGAAGCGGAACATCCTTATATCATCCGCAAACAGTTTAAAGCTAAAGACATCAGTAGAATTACAAATGTCGTTAATGTACAACAAGAACAGTAAAAAGCCTATAATTGAGCCCTGGGGAACACCACATTTATTTTCAAGCTTTTCTGAAACTGTATTGTTAGTTTTAACATAGTGTTTCTTGTTTGACAAGTAACTTTTGAACCAATCATATGCCATCCCTCTAAATCCCTAAGACTTCATTTTTTAAGTAAACATCATGGTCAATAGTGTCAAATGCTTTTTTTTTAAATCAATAAAAATACCAAACACAATATATCCTTTATCTAAATGGTTTGTGATGTCAGTTACAAGGTCAAGTAAAACAAGTTTTGTACTTCGTTTATTGCGAAATCCGAATTGTACGTCTGACAAAATATCAAATTTCTCAATAAAAGACATAATCTGTTTATTGACAACACTTTCAAAGATTTAACTGAAAACCGGAAGTATCAAAATTGGTCTGTAGTTGCCTAAATCTTCTGTTGAGCCCTTTTTATACACAGGAGTTACTCTAGCAATTTTAAGAAAATTTGGAAATATTCTGTGCTTAAAGGAGTTATTTATGATATGGGTATGTGAGCGACAGATGTACAAGAAAGAATCAACTACAAGTCTTGGGTGAACATTATCATAGCCACATGATTTCTTTAAATTTAGTTTGTGAATTTCACTCAAAATGTTAAGCTCGCCGACAAAATGAAAATATAAAGAATTACTAGTTGGAATTGGAGAAAAATGAGGCAAAGTCGACATTAAAATTTATT